TCAAATCGAGTACAGATAAGATAAGTTTCTTATGTGGTTCAGAGAACCAAGTTCGATGTAGCATCCGACTTAAGCTAGAAGATTGAAGTAAAAGATAATTGAAGCGATCAGTAGAGGTATCGTGTTCGCCGTTAAGATCAAGCATCCTGTAACTAGAAGTGGTACATGGTAGAATGTGATTAAATCATATTAGAACATGAAGGGAGATATCTTTCGTGTAAAAGTCTAACTCAAAGAGACTTGAGTCTAACCGTTGCGTCATACGATGAGAGGTCATTAGAACATGACCTATCGGTATGTTACGGTAGTTGAAGTAAGGACCTTAATTTAGGTTAAGTCTATTATGGAAAGATCATAATTCTTCGATGGAGTTCAACTTCAGAAGAAAGAGTAGGTACAACACGATCAGCGGTCAAGAGGTCTAAGAATTAGAAACTCGTTAGAAAAGACATGAGAGTTACAATTATGATCTAGGATGGAAAAGTAACGTGTGGAGTCATTATACAAGCCCTATTTTGTTGATGATTCCGGGACGTAATCATCGTTAGGGGAAAATAGTTTTAACGCCCGCAGACTTGGGGTAGTTAATTTAGAGATAATAAGCGTTAAAAAATGACTTTTTGATAGAAGATTATTTAGGAAAAATAATACTAACAAAAGTAATAGTATATGTGAAAAGGATTCCATATATATAAAGAATGCTAAAATCCAGTTTTGTATGAAGAAGTTATGCTTCTTTGAAATTTCGCGATTAAACCGGTACGACTGTATGTATCATAAAAAGTAAATTTTTGAGATATTACTTTTTAGCCTTAATTATATAAATGAAAGTCATAGTATTCATTAAACCAAGAGTGTGCATATAGAGAATGTCCAAATATGACTTCAATAGAGGAAGTTATGACTTTTTGAAGTTTCAGAGCAGCAGTGCGAGCACAAAAATCGAATTTTAGATTGGTTGATTTTTAGCTGAAATGATCTAAATGAGAATTGAAGATCTCATTAACAGGATTTCAAAGATAAAAAGACATTTGAAAACAAAGTCCGTATGTAGAAGTTATGAGTTTTACACGGTCATTAGCAGTGTGATCTTCTCAGACTGTTAAACATAAGATCGGTTGAGAATTAGCTGATGGGGTCAAAAGAAAAGTTGTAGTACTCGGAAATACCTACATGTGGATATAAAGAACATCAGAAAAAGATCCAGTATATGAAAGTTATGAAATTTTGAAGATCTGCAGTTTTACCTACGTCTGGTGCCACGTGTCAGCACCAGAGGCGAAGCATTGGTGCCTACACATGCGCACGACGTGAGAGCCATGTCTCACGATGTGAGAGCCCCTTGCGAAGCCTATAAATAGAGTATAATTTCACTCATTTATTCACACCTTTCCATTCTATTCTCTCCTAAACCCCTCAATGCCTTTCTCTAGCACTTCCTAATTGTTAGTAGCGAAGCTCCGGAACGTCAGAAAGCACAAGAAGTAGAGCTTTAGGTTTAAAAGTTATGCCCATGCAGAGTCTATTTTCTCGCTAAATCACCTGTAAGTTGAGTTATGCTTATGGTACTTTAAGTATAATTTATGTTTAAGTTTATTATCGTTATTATGAACCTATAAACAAGAGTTGTCAGTGATTCCATGTTGTTATACTGATTGATCTACTTACAGGAGATGTGTCTAGAATGGCCACATTGGCTTGATTGTTGGATTTCAGAAAAACTATATGCCGAAATGATCCTGCCTCCCAACTATCATGCCTGGTGATCCTTACTTAACTCAGAAGGAAGAGATCGTTGCCCGAGATCCATCTGATTTTCATGTCAATTTTTACTTGACGTCGCAAAATCCCTAAAAATAATTTTCTTTTTTCTTTATCTTTGGCACACTCTTACATAAAAATCCTTATGATTTTTCCAAATCTGGTTTTAAGTTCTGAATGGCTACATTTATTCTAAGAACGGGTCATGATCTTCAAGTTGGTGAATTTAAAATTAGTCAAACCTGAAATGATGGTTGTTGGAGATAAGATTTTAAGCCAGATGCATATTTTTGAAAATCCCTAACATGACGTTGTCTGTTACAACGAATCTGACACATTGATGAGCTGTTACTGTTTTCACGGCCACTTTTACGGGGTATTGGAACATCATGTCACGATTTTCTCTCAACACTCATACCACACCGTATAAAAGGGATTTGACGGTATTCTTTCTCATCGCTCACACATTATTCCAAGAACCCTCAAATAAAAAATAGTAAGCACTCTCTACTGTTTATCATCATTCTTGTTGCTTCAATGGCCGGATCATAAAACACTGCTTCTTTCACCGATCAATCCGCCTCCGTCATCATGTTGAATGTCAAGCCAAACTAGAACCTCATTCTCAATCTCGACTCATCTCGATACAATGAAGCTCTAAGGCCCATGATTGAATGCTTAAGGTTCTCACCACTAGCTCAAGCTTTAACCATGGCAGAATCTGTTCCTATGGTCCATATTTCTAAGGCTTATTCGTCTGCAAACTACAGTCAACCTGATGGGGTTATTCATTTCGAGGTAGTTTCTCACAAGACCTCGATGTTTAAATCCCGTTTTTGCAGAATTTTAGGGTTTGCTTTATCTGAAGGACTCATGGACCCATAATCAATTTCAACTTCTGCACTCATCAAAATGTTTTACCAGATGGGATACTTTGGAGATATATCCTTATTTTCAAAGTTCAGGAAGCCCTTTCTTCCTCCAATGTGGAATGGGTTATTCACTCTTCTGTTTAAGAGCTTTTCTGAATGAGTTGCATGCTCTGACAGTGCAAGTAGACTGTTTTATACTATCATCTAAGGCATCTACCATGGAGTAAATCTAGATTTTGGTTCTATCTTGTGGACTCAGCTTATCCAAAGCATCATTTCCACCACCCATCCCAAAGAGATATCATGTGCTTGCTTTGGTCTATCGTGGTCATTGTTCTAAATAACGTAAGGCGTGGCTTGACAGCAAGGTCAAAGTTAAGCCATGACAAGCCTTGGAGAGCCATGACGTTTTTAAAGGCGTGACTATTTTATATACATTAAAAAGATAAATTATATAATTATTGAATTTTATCAAATATATGAAGTTTTTATAAATGTTATATTAATATCTAATCTAAAAAGTTAATAAAAACACAATTATTTTAGGTTTGACAAAAAAACAAAAAAAAAATCAAAAACACCCGCGCCTTGAAAAAAACTCATGCCATAACGCGATAATGCGCGCCTCGACACGTTATTTGGAAGTCACACTTAACAAACCCGCCTTGGACGTTTTCGTAACGGCTACACCATGCCTCACACCATGGCACACCTTGAGGCGTGCCATGGCACTTTTTAGAACCATGATCGTGATCAAACGTGCCCTAGGCCACCTCCAGTTCCACTGGTGGAGAATTCCATAATTGCTGCCATTCTGATTCTGCAAAAATCAACATTTATGATGTCCGATCCACTCAAATTCAACTTTGTTGGTTCTATTCCAGAAGTGATGTTGGAAAAAGTTCCCATAGACAATGCAATTATGAACGAATATCGCAAGCAACCTACATCTGGTGTTCGTCAAATGACATTGGAATTACGAAAGATACTTGAGAACGCTAATAAACTAAAGAGGGGAGGTAAGCAAAAAGCAAAAGATGCTCGTTCTGAAGTAGTGAAAACTCCAAAGAAGGTCAAAAGTAGGCTAGGAAACTGAGATCTCCATCTCTGGTTGCTCAGGAGGACTCAAAATCTCAAACGATTTTGGAAATTTGAGAGAATGTCTTAGTTTAGAATGAAGTTAAGGATATTGCTGCCACTTCGGAACCAACTCCCACTAAAACCATTCCGGAGCTATCATCTCCCATTCCTACCTCTTTTCCTCTTACAAATGACTTCTTTGTCAACTCTCCACCATCCTTGCCTGTTACTACCATAATTATGATCTCTTCTATCACTCCTCTTCCTCAAAAGATTTTTGTTGCTATTTTACAACCATAGATCTCCATTTCTCTTTCTACACCATTCTTTACAGATTCAACAACTACAACAACAACAACAGTAACCCGTACACCATAAGTTACTGTCACCAAGTCTGTTTTAGAGGAGGTACATAGTTCCGACATTCATGTCAACATGTATAATACGGGGATAGATGTCAATTTTGGTGTAACTATGGGTCCATGCACCTCTACAACTTCTCCATTACGTAACAATGATCCAAACATCCTTTTTGGCAATGATTCAGAAGCCTTTACCAATTTTGTTTTTAGCCCCTTTAGGGTTAATATCAACAGCGATGAAGATGATGCCCCTATAACGAAAGGGCAGTTCAAGCAACTAAATGAGAAATTAGATACTCTTTTGGAGTCTTCAAAATATTTGTCTTCACCCAACTATGAATATCCGTTAATCGCTCACAAGGCTGCAGTGGAGCTGCTTACCAAAGTCAACGCCCAAGTCCTTGGAGAATCCACTAAGGAGATTAAAGCTTCTAAATATACTATTTCCGAGACGACCGCAAAAGTCGAAAAACTATCTCAAGAAGTGAGAGAATATATGGCTGAGTTTAAAACTGCGTCTGACTCCAATACCAAAGCTGTAAATAAAGTTATTGCAGGTTTTCAGAATTATTTGCAAGCTGAGAAGGAGGCACTTTATATTGTTTGTTCCTAAATAAAGGTCGACAATACCAAGCTAAACGCATCTGTCCTTACAAAGACAGAAAAATTGTAGAAGGACTTGGTTGCTGAAAACAACCTTATGGATCAATTGGCTGACAAGACTCAGAAGGCCAGAGTTCTTTTGGTCAAGCTGCAGTATACAAACAAGCGTGTTGATGATCACTTGGAATCTGAGAAGACAATCGTCAAAAGATGTGCTTCTGGCATTAATCAGTATCTGTAACGTCTTGTCGAGTCTCGTGATTCAATTTTTATAGTCTCTGTTAGACAACATCTTTCGGATAAACTTCAACCAGTGTTTGCAATGTTGAATCAAATAGAAGGTGTTTCAGAAAATGGTGATCTTCTGAAACAAGGGGGATACAAAGAAGATAAAGGAGAACCCCAAGCAAATCAAACCACTGGTGAACAAGAACAAGAACAAAAACTGAATACAAATGATCAGGAGGGTAATAAAGCTTCTGCATCAAATAAAGGCAAAGAGAAGATTGTTGATGGAGAAGAAGAAGGAGAGAGAGCTTTCTGAATCAGAGAAGCTTGTGCGCAAGAAGAGAGAAAAAGAACTCGATGATCTAATGAAGCTTCGGGAAGAGTTAGAAGCACAAGAGGCGGATGCTAAAATTGCAAGAGTGACGCTTGAGACTTAGAAATCACTTTTTCCTCCATGGTCAGTTGACATAATTTAGAAAGAATCCATTTATGCTCCGAACGTCTATTGGCTTGAGCCTACAATATCTTTTGATCTAAGTAACAAAGCGAATTCTCAATTTGATTTTTCAGTCACTCCTAGGGCTTCCCTATTTCGGTGTTTTGAGAAGATAGAAAGGGTTGTGATCTCTGACAAAGCAGTAAAATCAGAAACTCTTCAATTTCTACTTGAAGTATGCCAAGCCTCAATACCAGTCTTGGAGCCTAACGAGGATTGTAGGGTTGAAGGTTTGCTCAATAGTGCCTACTGAAGATTTTATGAGCATAAGGTACAAGGGATTTCGGGGAGTCGATAAAGTGTTGGATGAATTCACTTTGGCAGAATTGCCATTTATGAATCCATACGACTGGATCTTAATGTTCAACATTGTCATGAAGGATGAGAAGAAATACGAACCCATCGTTGCCCATCTGAAAAAGATGATAATCTGCTACATAAGGGAATTTGCAAAGATGGATTTGGAAATACCATTGTTGTTGGAGAAAAAGCCTGATTTGGAACCCGAAGAGCAGCCTCAGGATGTTAATAGGATGAAGTTGGGAGTTATTCAGAAAGAGCACTAGAGTGTTGCGTATAATCGAAAGTCTGGTGAAAAAAATTAGTAAAGTATATTCTTTCTGAGAGATAAACATCTTTATGTAACCATTACTCTGAAGACTATTCTCGTAATGATTGAAACTTACAAGGTGAACTGAACTGCAGATCCGAAGTGATTTTCAGATATGATCAGTTAGTGTGTTCGAAGTGTACTTCTGAATTTGATGCCCAAACTTTTCAACGCGCAGAGAAGGAAACAGTGAAGACTCTCTTTCGCTATTTAACACAAAGGGGGAGATTTTTGGGCTTAATAGTGTTATGTCAATTGTGTGCATAGTTTAGTATGTTTTATTTTGGTTTGGGCTTGTCCATTCTCGGATCTGATTAGTAGTTTAGACTATAAATATTATGCATACATGTATTTTGAGGGTTAACTTTTGGTAACCCTAATTTCCATACGCTCTTACAGAGAAGTTCTTGAGAAATCTTCTAGAGTCATTTAATCTAAGCATTCGACACACATTTGATCTTCATTGTTCTTGTCATTTAATTCATTTTCTTTAATATAGAATCTATCGATCATATTTATTGTTCTCGCAATCCTTTCATGAAGGCTCTGAGTAGGTTTAAGTATAACCACTATACTAAGAACATAGGCTTAAGATATGATATTAGTTTTAACAGTTAGTTGATATTTTGAAACTTGTAGCAAAATAAATGTAATTGATTTTGGTGATTAAGTAATGGAGATTATTTGAGTATGTTTACTGCATTTTTCGATTATTTTTTCTTGTGTTTTGTTTTGGGATTAACTGGATTAATTAAAAGTAGAAGTACTAAAGGTGAAATGTTCAAAAGTTGAGCATTGAAGAATTCCATAACCTTCCCATACGCAGGGGGGGGGGGGATGGTTTTAGAGGAGGGTTCTAGGGTTTCTTGGAAGCCTTAGGGAGCAAGAAAAGGGATAAGGGTTATCCAAGGAAATCTGCCTCCATACTCACCTATATAAACCCCTTATGGGTTCATAATTTCGGCCATCCTATTCTAAAAGCCTTAGCGCCAAAATTCCTTCCCCTCTCATCTCCCCCCGAAGTCTTCTATTGCTAGGGTTTGGGTACAAACCATTAGAGGCACGAGATTTCTGGTGCTTGCTTTCTGAAGCTTTATCAAGAAGGAATTGTTGATTATCTACTACAATAATCAAAATGTGTGTAAACTCTAAAACCCTTTATGAATTTTGAAAATAGTAGAGTACTCCTAGGGTTCTTGATGTTAAGTTGTTTGTTGCAAATCAATAGTGAAAACATAGATACTTTAGGTTGCATGGGAACTTACGGTTAAGTTTTTTCCGCCACATATTTTTTTTTGTAACCTATAAAACCTATCAATAGGAGCATATGTTATTATTAATATCATTTAATATTGATTCTTGATCATATAGATCCAACCTATATTACCTAAGAAGTGGCTCCTAGCCCAATATTGAGGAAGGATTCTTTTCAATCACTCAAAAGCTTGCCTATAAAAGTGACTAAACTCCATTATGAAATTCTCAAATTCTGACACTATGGTGGCTGTTGCGCACTTCCATAAGTGATCCTTGTACTCTTTAGCTTTCTAAGTTTTCATCATATTATCATAAATGTGTTGGAGGCAAAACCTATGTTCGACATGTGGGTATCATTGTGCAATTACAATTAAGGTGCCCTATGATACAGACGTTATCAAAAAACATTAGCAAATTTTATTAAACAAATAAAATATAAAAGTTTAGTTAGAAGAAGAATACCTTTTTCCTATCACTTATGAAATCGAATTTAGAATTTCTATACAGTTCTAAATCATCCCTTAAGCATTCAAGAAATCACTTCCAACTGTTTTTATTTTCAACCTCAACGATTTCATATGCTACATGGTATATGCCATTGGTTGAGTCTACTACAACAGTAGTGAAAACCTGACCAAGAAAAGGGACATTTCATAAAATCCCCATCTAACCCAAAAGTATCTCTTACTCTAGCTTTAAATCTTTTCTTTAATGAACCTAAACAGACATACACTCTTTTGAATTGCCTTGTATGGTTTGAGATGTTAGATTGAATAACTACTTCTAGTTTCATTGTTGTACCCTCATTTGCTGCTTGTAGTTCAAGAAATAGTCTCGCAACGCATGATACTACTTTTTGTAGTCACCAACAACCTCCATTAAAGCTGATGCTTTTTCCCTCGAATCTTGTAGATTGATATTCAAGTTGTAAGTTTTTTTTGTAACTTGATCTTGGATTCTTCGTAGTGGCATAGTTGGATTTAACTATGCCTGGTCAATGATTTGATTACAGATGACTTTTGCAGTGCAAGTCGTAATTTTTATTGTTTGGTAATAAGTATGATTTTCCTTCAAAGTTTAACATACCAATACTCACTATCCTTTGACCGTGAACACTGCATTGATCTAGGACACTTTACTTTATTACTTCACCCACTTGCATTCCTTCAGGTATAATACCTCTACACTCCACTTTAAGTCTTACTTTGTCATTTTTTAAGAAAAGATTCCTTCTAGTTTCAATAAAATGTTGGTTAACTTTCTCTTTTATGTCATTCTTGGATTTATACTTTTGCCTCACGTAGAAAGGGGTTGCATGCACTACACCATGTAAGCATCTATTCTCTTTCCCTAACTATTCAAGATTGCTTTCCTCTTCTCATCATCAATGTCTTCTCCTAATGAATACCCCTCTGTTGGATTTGGTGTCTAATCCCATAACTATAATTGGTATATACTTAATTTGATATGTAGCATGGTCCTTCTGGGTTGCCTTCACTCATGCAACTTGACAGGATGACTAGTGGAGAGAGAGTAAAATTTATTATGTGAAATAATAAACTGGTACTTAAATGATTTTATTAATATATTACAAGATTAATATATTATTTAAAAATCATATTATTAATTGGTGATTAATCATAAATTAATTTGATATTAAGTTTGAGATCAAAAGAACTGATTAATAATGGATGGGCAGTTTTGCAAATCATTGATAGTTGTAGAACTAGGCTATTGGACTCCTTGAGTAGGAGTGGACGAAATCCTATAGGGAGGCCCTATAGATTTCGTACAAGGTCTCATAAGGAGGATTCCATGGGCTGCTTAAGCCTTAAGCAGAAATTAAGGTTTCCTTCAGAAACCCTAGCATCCCACAACTATATAAAGACCCCTAATCACTTGGAATTTCGGCTTATGCTTGAAAGAATGAAACCCTAGCCAATTTCTAAGTGTCTCTACTATCATCTTTTGCATTGGGTGTTTGTGACTCCATTAGAGGTGCAACACTTGGGGTACTGAGCTTTCAAGAGTCAATGATCTTCAAGGATTGTTCTTGTTATTACTATATAACAAGTGAGGTAATAATCTAACCCTAATTTCATATGAATTTCGAATCTTGTATGCTAGATCTAGGGTTATTGCTTTGGTATTCTATTTGCAAGTTTAATTAGTGAAAAACTTAGATCCAAAGGAATTAGGGTTGCATGATCACATAGGAATGTAGATATGCTCAAAACCTATCACACTCATCATTGTTTATTGCCTCAACATCATCTATATCATCCTCTTCATTTTCACACTCTTCTATATGCTTTCTTCTTTCAATGTATTCAACATCTAAGTCTATATACATGTGAAAGTTGGTCCTATCCACCTCTACATCACTCCCATAATTTCATCATCTTCCAAATAATCACTGTCACTCTCACTCTCATCACTTTCTCCTTCTACTTCTACTTCATCTTCATCATCACTCCCAACTGTATAGTTTGTCTCTTTACCAAAGAATGGGTCAAAGTTTTCAAAGTCATATAATTCGACATTTGCTATTGACTTTGTATTTGGTAAAAATCATCCAAAAAAATCCAAAATTATTTTAATCTAGTGATTAGAGAAGGATTCTAAACATTAAGTGCAAAACATAGTATACATTACCGTGAATGAGATTAAGGTGTTGATTATACATATTTGTTCTAGAGCATCAATCGACCAAATTGATTTCCTTGTTAGATTTGTTCGGGAATAAGCTGTAGCTCACCATATCTTCAATGGACAAGGATATGGTAACATATTTGTTGAGATTAAGAATCGTCCATAAAGAACATGTCAATGTACTGTTATATATGCCATAAAGAATTCAATTCAAGAATATTATGATGTTGAGCATAAATTATTTCAAATAATAATTTTGAATGATATTATTTTCTACAAAATTTATTTAAATATTTAACAATGTTTGACATACAAAACAAGGACATGTAATAAATTCCTAAAGAGTTGAGCATTGATTTCAAGAGCATACACCGATCTCCGATAAAAAGCATTTTAATTTTCCAAAAAGAAAATATTTTAAGAAATTTATCAATCATAGTATTTAACCCCGATAACCGCAACATAATAGAATTCACTAGAAACCCAAGATGTTAACAAAGGAAGTTTCGTAGCCTTGCAACATGTTAACGTAGCAAACTGGCCGACCCCAATCAAGTAGCACAAATTCCAAATAAATTAGCAAACTATTTTTCAGTTAGAATTATTATATTATAATGCTGAAATCCCATATCCTCTAGATATTAGAAAATAAGGGTATAAAATTGCTCGGATTAGTGAGAGTTGTGAAACACTTTCAGATTAAAACATTTTGAGGGTACACTCGAAAATCTCTAATTGGATAAAACTTACTGTTTTCTAGAATGGATAACGAAGAAGATGTTATGAAGATCTGTACCCAAAATGATTTCGAAATTGATCATATAACAGGAAACAACCTCTTGTCTTAAAACTGTCAAATGACAGTTTTATGTCCCAAAAATGTCCAAAACGGTCATAAACTAACCTAAAACCGGGTCTGAAATATGGATCACAAAACCGGGTGTATTTACAGAAAATACTGATTTCTGAACTTAGTTCAATAATTGTCAAAATGACATTAATCAACAAATTAACCCCATTACACATAAATAATATTAGTGATATAAA